GGAGGCGACAACAAGATGAAACTTGTGTCCAGAGGAGGCAAGGTCCTACTGAGAATTCTCACAAGTAGAAACTGCAAGAAGACAAGTAATATTAAGACTAGGGAAAATATCTAAGTACAGGATATGTTATATACTTCTAAGTAGGAGGCAGTGACCAGGATAACTATGTTGCAAAGCTATGTACCAAGGGTATAATTTGTAAGTACTTACACAGGCGAAGACATAAGTCGGAGTGGATACCAGTATGTATGCATCGGATCAGTGATTGAGTGGTAAGGAGAATTACCGGTGATCCGGAAGTAAGGGTCTATGTACTGAAGGGGAAAGTATATATCTAAAAGGGGCAAGAGGTTCCAGTCGAATGGAGATGTTATGGAAGGGGACCGGTTGGGCGGTCGAGCGGAAGCATAGGGGTGGATGCAGATGATGATTGGATGGAGCGAAGGATGGATGGAGCGAAGGATGGATGGAGCGGAGGTGGTCAGAAAGTGGAGCAGATATCAATATCAGAGCGGTCGGATCAGGTATATGACAGGAATGGAAAATTATACTAGTTGGGCTACCAAGATGCAGTATGCTCTTGTGTGCAAAGATCACTGGTGTCACATCAACACGAAATCCGAACCAGGGGATCTCCTCGGTCTTCCTTCATATATACCTTTACCAGTCGATAAAGCTAGACCCATGGACGCTGAAACAGCGCTAATGCATGAATGGTTGCTCAAAGACATGAAGGCCAAGGAACTCATTACTCAACGACTGAGCTTGTCCATTGCATCACTCATTCCTCATTCTCACACCGTATCAGCACATAAAGCTTGGCAGGTCTTACAGGACCATTTCAACTGGACCAACATGAGCACACAGTATCTTCTCAGACAACAGGTACAAGCGCTGCGCATGAAGGACTCTGCTGACGCCACCAGTTATGTTGCACAACATGCGGTTTTCTGTGAACATTTAATTGATGCTGGTGCACCTTGGGGCGAAACTGACGCCATTTACCATATGTTGATGGGGGTCCCTCAAACCCCAATCTGGCAGCAGTTTAAATCTCTTCTCGAGCAATGTATGCATGACAAGTCCATGACTGCCACGTCTGCATCTGTACCTACCTTTACCTTCGAGAGTTACATATCCCGCATCACGTCTGAAGCTGCACATTATGTCGTGACCCAGCATGCGCATTCCTCACATCCAGGCTCAGAGTATGCCAATGCTGCCACCACTCCCATTGTGCATGCACAAGCACAACCCCCAGGGGGTGTTCTGCACCACACCTGGCTGCAGCAAGGGTGATCATGACCATGCTCACTGCTATGGGAAGGGTGGTGGAATGGAAGGTCAGGCTCCATGGATGAAGAATAAGAAGAAGGACAAGGAGTCCACAGTTGCTGCAGCTGCTACCATAGCGCCCGTTCCAGCTCCTACTCCTGCTCTTACTCCTACACTTCCCATTGTGGCGGCCATCACCGGGCTCAGCAGTCTTATGGACAATATGTCCTTTGCTTCCATTACAGAGATCCCGGACAATGTGTCCTGCGCCGTCGACCTCCCATTCTCCACTATTCTAGACTCTGGCACTACCATTACCCTTGTCAAGGATAGGGTAACAAGAAATTTTTCCACACTTACTCTGATGCAGACCCTGTTCCAGTGCGCACCGCTAATCACAGTATCTTGCAAACCACTGGCCACAGTGCCTGTGTTGCATGGCTCACCATTGGCAGGAAGCGACTTTGCATATGATTATCCAACTGCCTTCATGCACCGGGCGCCTTACTCAATCTCCTATCCATCAGTTGCATGAATGCAAAGGGATGGGATGTCAACTTCAGATCCAATATGACCTGTGAACTCACCTACAAAGGCACTCCCCTTGGTGTGATACCAGCCACTGGGAAGCTCTATGCTGCAGACATGGAGTTCATTCCAGCCTCCGTGCTGTCGTCTCCATTGTTGCCTCATCTTGAAATGTTGGCGTTCACTCACATTCCTCTCTCATTGGACCTTTGGCATGCTCGGATCGGGCATATTGGAAAGGAGGCTGTGTTGTGTCTCAGTCGTGTTTCCAAGGGCATTACCATTGATTCTACTGCACCTCTCTCTCATTGTGAGTCCTGCATCATGGCCAAACACCCTCATCAACCCTTTCATCCATCTGAGACTGAACGTGTGTCCAGTTTCCTTGATCTAATTCACTCTGACCTCTGCAGTCCCATTCCCACACTCACTCCCCACAACAAGTGCTACTTCTTTGTCTTTCTTGATGACCATACACACATGCTTGATCTCCAACTCCTTGCCTCAAAAGATCAGTCTCTGGACGCCTGGCATGCACCGCGCACCTGCTGGGAAAACTTGTCCGGGCGGTGTGTAAAGATTTTTTGTTCCGATAATGGCGTGGAATTTATCAATGACGCCTTTACAGTGGATCTTGAGCAAACCAGTGCCCAGTGTCAACGCTCTGCTCCCCAGGCTCATCAGCAGAATGGGAAAGCAGAGAGGGTGATGTGTACAATTGAAGGTCATATGTATGCGATGCTGGACTTTGCCCATTTGCCAGGTTCCTTGTGGGGTGAGGTGGCTCTCACCGCATGCTATCTATTTAATTGGACAGAATCGTGTGCACTACCTGTGGGGAAGACCCCATATGAGATGCTGCACGGCACTCAACCAAATCTGGGCCACCTACGCGTTTTCAGTGCTCGTTGCTTCGCGTGCATCCCGACAGAGCTACAGCAGAAACTTGGACCTCGCTCTCGAGAAGCCATCTTCATGGGATACCCCCCAGGCGTCAAAGCCTGGAGATGTTGCAACATTGTCACTGGAGCTTTCTTCAACTCACGTGATGTCATCTTCAATGAAGGACTGTCCAACCGCCCCTTCCCTGACAGCGACAATGAAGATGATGATGCTATACTCCTGCTGGCACCCCCTCCTACCATCATTGTCCTGCCTCAACCTCCTCACGCTGACATCATTCGTCGTTCAGGTCACATCCCAATCTTAACTGAGAAGGGCCAACTCTTTAAAGGTCGCATTGCTGCTGACAAAGCATGTCTTGCTCGACAACGCAAGGTTCGCATCGCATGTCTCACGGGCATTCCACCACCTTCCTCAGATGCTCTTGTACCTGTCACACCGATCGTTGATGTTCCCGCTCGCATGCCTGACCGTCCACCTCCTGCAGTTGTCGACCCTGATGCAATCAACCCTGACGATGATGAGATTGGCTTCCCCAAGGTCATCGCTAACCTCATTGTCATGGAAATGGCTTGTCTGTCCATCTGCAGTGACACACGCCGGAACCCTCTGTCCCCTGGTTACAATCTCAAGGTCCCCCCTGCAACTTATGACGAGGCGCTGCGTTGTCCAGACCACGACCACTGGTTAGCCGCAATGCACAAAGAGATGAACCTGATGTCAGAAATGAAGGTATATGAACTTGTACCATTGCCTGACAACCATTGCGCCATCAGGTGCTGTTGGGTACTGGAATTCAAGGAGGATCTTAAGGGTGGACCTGTGTTCAAGGCGCAACTGGTAGCCCAGGGCTTTTCCCAGATTCTGGGAGTTGACTTCGGATGCACCTTTGCCCCGGTGGCCAAGTCCACTTCTATCTGCGTCCTCTCCGCTTATGCTGCAGCCAACAATTGGGAACTAGACTGCTTCAACGTGAAATGTGCCTTCTTATGGGGAAAACTCCAGGAAGACGTCTACATGTGTCAACCCCCAGGCTTCGAGCACGCTGGTCCCAATGGTCTCTGCTTAGTTGCCCATCTCCTTTCCTCTCTCTATGGTCTCAAGCAGGCTGCATATGATTGGTATGAACTCCTCTGCGAAGTCCTCTCACATCTCGGGTTCTTACGCTGCGACACTGACTACGCTGTTTTCATTTTTGATCATGTCAACAGCAAGGGGGTGAGAATAATTTGCATCATCACATGGCACATCAACGACGGACTCGCGGGGTCTAACAATTGCACCTTCCTCGACCGAACAAAAGCGCAAATTGCTGAATGTTTCAGTATCACTGACCTTGGACCTGTCATGAAATATCTTGGCGTTCAATTCATCTGCAATTGTCAGACTTGCAAACTATGGATGCACTAAGAGGACTACATCGGCTATCTGCTGGCGGAGCATGGCATGTCAGATTGCAACCCAGTAGCACTGCCTATGGACCCCACCTTTCCTTTTGGCCATCCAACTGACATTTTCCCTCACGTCAATGACCTTCAGACCAAATATTGCAAACTCATCGGGGAACTCCTCTACCTTGCCATGTATACTCATCCCGATATCGCCCTTACTGTCATGCAACTGGCACAGTACAACGTCTCCACCGAACCCAAACACTATACAGCCGCCAAACACGTCCTTCGTTATCTTGCTGGTACGAGAACCCTTTGCGCACATTACGGGGGTGTAGGAATCAACCCTAGTCTGCATGGGTTCTCTGACTCTGACTAGGCCTCGTGTCCTGAGGACCACATATCAATCTTGGGATATGTCTGGTTTTTCAATGGTGGTCCCGTCTCCCACTCCACGAAGAAGCAAACCACTCAGGCTCTTTTGTCCACTGACATCAGGAAAAACTATATCTCTATATAGAGGACCATCCTCTATATAGCCCCGATAGCACACCACAGCTCTATACAGTCTATGGCAAGCTATCACAGCACTATAGACCAGTATAGACATCATGAAAGTCTATATATTACCATAAAGTTTGGTAAGTGTATTTAGAAGTAAAACATTTCAACAACTATAGACCCCAGTAGACCGTGGGAACTTTTTTCGATGAAAACCAAAGTTGTAGTCCTTGTCTAGGGAAGTCTATCCATAGTCTTATGACTTCAATAGGTTAAGATCCTAGTGAGTCATAAGGAAAATACTCGAAATTGAAGGGTTCAAGAAAGCAACTTGACCATGGGAACTTTTTTCGATTAAATCAAAGTTGTAGTCCTTGTCAAGGGAAGTCTATCCATAGTCTAATGACTTCAATAGGTCAAGATCTTAGTGAGTTATAAGGAAAATACTTGGAATTGAAGGGTTCAAAAGTGTTAAGGTACACCTTATTTATGTAAGCAAAAATGCGAAAATTCACCTTATGTGTATTCAAAATCCTAATGCTAACAGTCAATTTCATTGTCTTTTTCTTACTGTCATAATCCTAGTCCTATTAACCAAAAACTCGAAAATTCACCAAGTCTTGTGTTGTGGCTTTGTTTGGCACTGCTTATGTAAGCAAAAATGCGGTCAACCAACAAGTCTTTTCCCATTCTTTCCTTCCCCCCCCACTGCCCCCTCATTAGATTATCTTCCATATTTTTCTTACAATTTTCGAGTTTTTGCCTCTCTTCTCTTCTTCTTGCTTCTCTATCCTTCTCTTGGTGTTGATGTTGTTGGTGCTGGTACTGGTGCTGGTGCTTTGAACTCTGGTAAGTCTCCCTCCATAATTTTCGCATTTTTGACTATTTGACTAATCTTTTTTCTAACCCTCTCCTTCTAGCTCTCTTCCCTCCTGCTCCTCCTCCCCCCAACTATTTTCGCATTTTTGACCATTTGGCAAGTCTTTTCTCTGACTCTCACTTCCTCCTGTCTGATCCTCTCCTTCTAGCTCCCTTCCCTCCTCTTCCCTCAAGAATTTTCGCAATTTTCACTATTTGGTAAGTCTTTCTTTTTTTTGTATTCATCTTTCCTCTCTGATTCTTCCTTCTAGTTCTCTTGCCTCTTCCTCCTGTAATTTTCGCATTTTTGCCTGTTTTGTAGTTATTAGTTTACATGTATTGTAGTAGTTGAAATATAATTTGGAATTTTCGTTTTTTTTAATTTTGAGAACACTATCATGGCAACAAACAGCTATTAAGAGAAATTTTTGCTTTGTGTTTTGAGCTATAATAGCTACAATAGTTGTGGTATGTTCCACCCAGCTATAGCAACTTTAATAGAGCTATATAGCACTATACACTGGTGTAGTAAGCCTGCACAATTGGGCACTTGGCTATACGAGCTATAGGGCTATGGAGTCTGTATAGCAGTCTATAGCGCTATGGGTGGCTATATAGCCTTACCACATTTTCCTGATGGAGGCAAAATATATGGTGCTCACCTCGGCTATTCAAGATGGCCTCTGGCTCCAGTCCTTCTTCGGATGTCTCAGCATCCCTCTACCCCTACCGCTACAGCTATTCACAGACAATGCTGGTGCCATTGCTCTATCAAAGGAGGCTGCAAATCACGTTCAAATGAAACACATCGATCTCCATTACCACTTCATCCGTTGTCACATTGAAGATAAGACATTCCTGCTCATCTGGCTGTCAACTCATAAAAATACTGCCGACATATTCACCAAACTCTTACCCCATCCTGCATTCATCCATCATCATTCCAGTCTCGCGCTTGTGTCTCACTGAGACAAATGTTCTGTTTCATCTCTTGTTTTCATTGTCTCGTTGAGGGGGTGTGTTGGATGTTCAACATTGACCTCGTATTCCTTTTCTTGATTGCCATCACAGGCTCTATAGTGTAGCTTATAATTTAGTTGTATTGCATTGTTTGTACCTCAGTGGTTCTTTCACCAATGCTGAGGTACAGTTCACGTTCATTCTGCATGCCGTCTCTCACTTACATTGTTTTGTCTCTAGACCTGTCTCTTAGGTACTATTGATGTCATAGCGGTTCTTTCACCAACGCTGAGACCTGTCTCTTAGTTTCTACTTTCTACACTCGATACTCATTCCACCAATCCCACTTAGGTCGCTTGGGGCATAGAACTGAGAGCATGCAAAGTTGAATACTGATATTTTGCCCTCATATCGAGGGCATCCTGTGATAGGAATTTCTGACACATCTTGTGGATCATCTGGACATGTCTGTTGGAAGAGAAAGCAGTGGATCATCTCAGGTAGATGGGGGATATTCAGCTCTTCAGCAAGAGCCAAAACGGTGTGTGCATGCCTCGTCTCTACATGCAAAATCAAATCAGACATTGACACACAAAAACGAGGGAATATACTTGCATGTGGTTCGTGCTAATCGTGTATGTGCTTGCAGAATGGTCAGGCCATGATCCACACTGTCAATATCATCTTCAGGAACAGATGTGTCGAGGTTTTCATCTTGAGCATTATCCATTGCATCATTAGCAGGTGCATGGTGACTTGGTCCGTCTTGTTGTACTTATGGGATTAAAAATTAGCTTTCAAGTGGCTGAAAATAGGTTTAGAACTTACAAAGGGCTTCAAGGGCTGCTGAAAGGCAAGTTCCATTTAACATCCCATGGCTAGTGAAGTCGACTTGTGTGGCAGTGAGTTTATCGAGCCATTGATTTGTGACAAGCATTTGACCGAGTGCTTGATATTTTGTTATGACCAACGTTCACCAATAATGATGAAGGCAAGCACACAACCACTAGGACTCGGTCAGAGGGGATAGTGAACAAGATGGTATTGAGTGTGAACGTCTAAGTCACTACAAGCATAGGAAATGAAGAGGTTAAGTCTAAGGAGTACTTATGCTAACTAACCTACTTTTATACATAACATTGAATAGGAGTCTGAAAGAAATCAGCCAATGAGAAAAGAGTCGTACGATACTGCAGATGACTAAGTATGACTCATGATATATAAGCGAATGAGTAAGGCGGCAACTAAACAGAAACCCAAGTTCTGACCGGTTCTTCTTTGGGAAGCGAGATTGTTCTAGCCCGTGGAGTAGGGGAGCCAATCGGAGAAACCATGGGTGATATGTGAAGAGGTGAAGGTGTGACAGGGTGAGGAGTCACGTGACCGGTTCGGGTACTGGAAGTAGCCAAAGGAAAACTGAGAAATGAAAAATGGTTTGTATTAGGAATTCGTGACATTACCCCCTTTCTAGGATGAGTGTCCTCGCGAATGTAAGATGGTCATATATTTTTCTGTCTCCATTCGAGGAAGTCAGGGGTCATCAGAATTGAGGTGGAGATTCGTGCCAATTTAACCGCATTTGGGTTCTCTGCATAAAAGTCGGCTACAATGAGCGGCGCATTCTTCACATCTTCCTCTGACTGCCATGTTGCTTCTTCTACTGCATATCCTTTCCATTTTACTAAATACTGCAACTTGCGCCTGTATAGGCGGCTTTGCAATATTTGCTCTGCTTCATATTCTGGGACTTGGTCAACAATCTCCGGCGGTGGACGTGTTTGCGGTGGGCGATCGACAAGTTGAGAGGTTTGATGTGGGGTGAGTAGCGATACATGGAAGACTGGGTGAATGCGATATTTAACGGGGAGTTTCAACTTGTAGTTTAGCTCGCCAGTCTTCTCTTCGATTTCGAATGGTCCCAGACGGCGGTCGGACAACTTCTGGCTCGGACGACGTTGTTTGATATTTGTCGCATCTAACCATACCTTGTCGCCTGGTTTGAATTCTGGTGCGTCTTTTACTTTATGATCATAAAAGCGCTTCATTCGATCGTTCGCTATTTCTAGCATCGCCTTTGTCTCTTCTTGTGCCTCCTTCATCTCAGCTACTCTTTGATCGGCTTGGGGAATTGTGTTGGAAGAGTTAGGGGAAATCGTGAATTTGGCATTATAGCCATAGACACATTTGAATGGAGAATGTCCAGTGACGGTTACGGAATTATTATGCGTGAATTCTGCAATCGGAAGCCAAGAAACCCAATCAGATTGGTGGTAGGATGTGAAGAGTCATAGGTACTGCTCGACTTCTTGATTGATTCGTTCTGTTTGTCCGTCAGTCTGTGGGTGATATGCTGTTGACATGGACCACTTGGTTCCTAGTCTTTTCAAGACTTCCTGCATGAACTTGGACACAAATTGTGTTCCTCTGTCCAAAATCACCTTCTTCGGCGTCCTGTGCAGCTTCCATACGTGATTGAAAAATAAGTCCGCGATTCCCTTGGAATTAACATCCTTTGTAGTTGGAGCAAGATGTGCTTGCTTGGTGAAACGATCAACAACTACCAAAATACTGTCTTTGCCCTGGGAGATGGGTAGATCAGTGATAAGGTCACAGCTAATGGTTTGCCATGGCCCTTCTGGAATCTCGTTTGGCTTCAAAGGTCCATGGGGTTTTGATGGTAGCACCTTCGTTTGCTTGCATCAATCACATCCATCTACGTAGTCATTGACCCACTTCTGCATCTGAGGCCACCAATAGTTCCGCGAGACAAGTTCAAGAGTCTTGGCACATCCCATGTGTCCTGCTGCAGGCGAGTCATGGAAGATCTCTAGAACTGAGCGATGTATTTCCTTGTTATTGGGCACGTAGACCAATCCTCTGAACAGAATGAGTCCATCCTCCGTATTCCACTCTTCCAATCCTCTTCTCAACTGCACAGGGGCCTTCTTCAGGGTTTCGATAGCATTTCGGACTTCCGGATCCAAATCAGTGCAGTTTCTGATATGCTTCAACAGCGAATGTTCTCCTTCTATCAGAATCTGACCTCTTTTTGTGGCTTTAATATGGAAAAACTCGGGTTTTAAAAGCACGCAATTGGAATTGTCGTTTTCTACCCCCCCTCTGTGGTCTGGCCTCCTGGACAGAGCGTCGGCAGTGTCGTTAACCTTTCCCGGTTTATGTTGCAGAGTGAAGTTGTACTCTGCAAGGAACAAGGACCATCTCGCCTGTCTACGAGTTAACTTCTGACTGGTCATGAAGTACTCGAGGTTTTTATGGTCCGTCCAGATCTCTACCAGATGAGGTGTGCCCTGCACATAATGCCTCCACTCCTCCAATGCATGGATGATAGCTAAAAGTTCTTTGTCGTGAATGTCATAATTACGCTCTGCATCCTGCATTGATTTGCTGAAAAAGGCTACTGGGTGCCATAGTCCGTCTTCTTCCAACTGAGAAAGTACACCACCAGTAGCATAGTCAGATGTGTCGCTCTCTATCTTCTGTTTTTTATTTGCATCTGGCATGACTAGCACTGGTGCGGAAGTGAAATTGTCCTTCAGAGTTTTGAAAGCCTTTTCTTGTTTGTCCGTCCATTCCCATGGCACATCCTTCCTGATGAGCTCATTCATGGGTCTGGCAATGTTCAAGAAACCAAGAATGAAACGACGATAAAAGTTCGCAATTCCCATGAATTGTTGAATGTCCTTGACACAGGTAGGAGTGGGCCATTCCTGAACTCCTTTAACCTTGACTGGATCCATAGAGACGTGCCCATCCTTGATGATCAAACTGAGAAACTCTACTTCTTTCTTCTCAAAGGAACACTTCTCCGGTTTGAGATAAAGGTCATTGTCCTGCAACCTTTGTAGTACCTCATGCACCACCTTCCGATGTTTCTCTACATCACCGTTGGTGAAGACCAAGATGTTGTCAATGTAGACTACAACAACCTTGCCTTCCTTCAGATCTTGGAAGATTTGGTCCATCATAGTTTGGAAGGTAGCTGGGGAGTTTGTCATGCTGAAGTACATTATGACTGGTTCATGGTGTCTAAAAGGAGTCTTGAAGGCGGCCTTCCACTGGTCTCCTTCCTTCATTCTAATATTATTATAGCCCCATCGAACGACCATTTTTGAAAAAAGCTTTGCACCAGAGAGATGATCAATAAGATCCTGAGAATGAGGGAGAGGGTATGCATTTCGGATGGTTTTCTCATTCAACCTCCGATAGTCCATGACGGGTCTGAGCTTTCTGTCCTTCTTAGCAACAAAGAAGAAAGGAGCTGCTACTGGAGATTCACTATCTCTCAGTCGTCCCAAATCATACTCTTGCTTCAGCCACTTTTCACATGCGTCACTTTCGGCGGGGGACAGGGGATATGCCTTCGCATTAGGAGGAAGATCGTTAGGGTCCTTGAGG